CAACAGGATCCTTGTCCTCTCACACGTATTTAAGATCACAGAATCATAGGCTGGAAAAGACCTCTAAGATCATCAAGTCCAAACTGTCACCCCAACACCCCCACGCCTGCTAAACCATGTCCCGAAGTGCCACATCCACATGTTTTTTGAACCCCTCCAGGGACGGGGACTCCCCCACTGCCCTGGGCAGCCTGTCCCAGTGCCTGACCACGACGCATAAGGTACCTATTATAGTGAGTTCAGATCTCTGCAAGAACAACACAGGACTCCCTTCCTGTACGCATCTGCTGAGCTGGTTAACTTTTGTGTTAAATTAAACTCCACTCACTACTGTGTGATGCGGGCAAGGTTTCATTCAGAAATTACAACTCAAGCTACTTCATTTTTATTGGTGATACATCTTCAGTTTGTGAAGTAAAGACAATCTGTCCTCTTTCTCTCATCAGCTATTTTACCTTCCTCCACATCCAAGCATTGTGCCTGTCCAGATGAACAATCATCTGCATTTGAGGGACAGCTGCCTGAGAGCCCGTGTGCTGCTACAGCAGCGCCGCAGCGTTGCAGTACCTCTGGCACCTTCCACACACACGTACCAACCGGCTGCCAGTCCCGACCTGCTTGTCAGTGCAGTCCGCAGCTGCTGGCGAAGTCTGGTGTGTTCCACCCAGTGCAGATGGGTGAAAGATACATCCATCTTGCCTCAACTATGTGAAGAAAAATACAGTACTGTGATGGAAAAATAGAAATGAGTGCTTTTGTCTTACTTCATAGAATTTCAATTTAAACAAGGAAGGAAAAATCTCCCTGTGATAATCTTCGGTTGGCTTTGCTACCTCTGCTTCTGTCCGCAAAAAAGGAAAACAGTAGGCAAAATTTGCTGCTTGTTTTTAATTAACCTATTTTAATTCATTTCTGCAGAACCCTTGCAGATAAAACAGCTGGGGGTTTTTTTCTTCCTTCCTTTTACATATCTTAATCTTTCATTGAAAATGATCAAAAACCTATGGCAGCAGATGGGGATGGAATATGAAAGTTTTCACAAAGGAGTTCAGATATTAGAGGAGAAAAAAAACAAAAATAGATTTCGCTTTTAAGTTTTGAAAAATATTTCTAGGCTTTAAAATTTATAGACAGCTTTGTATCTTCCAGTTCTTAAAGGAAAATTCCAGCAATCGTTTAGCTATAAGTGATTGTAAGTAAATATTTAGTGTATGTGCAGCTATTTTCTTCTTTCCACGTCTCCTCAGATATACCCACCAATTTTTCAGTGCTTATAGCTGAATGTGTATTTAAGGTGAGGGAGATAAAAGAATTAACTGCTGTAAAGAACTGTAGCCAACTCTCCCTGTCTCCAGCCCTACAAGCCTGCCCTTGATTACTGCTCCCAAAAACTGTCCCCCTCACAAGCACTCAGGCACTCCAAGTGAGGCTTAATCAGTGAACCACGCTTCACCTGGGACCAGTGTCTCCTGAAATTATCCTTAAATTAATCAATTCAAGTATACACTACAGATTATTCACTTCGCTCTGTTTGGGATGTAAATTATGAAAGGGTAGTTTGAGAAAGCTAAGAAAGTTATTTAAGAACTTTTTTTTCTGTGCAAAATATTGATTGGAGTGCCTCACTGCAACTTGTGAGACCGCATGTAAAGGCAGGACCAATAAATGCTGTCAGTGCAATTACTGAACTACAACTTGCCAGCCTCATGCAGGATTAGGAGCAGCAGAAAGACCCGACATCAAAAATAGAAGAAATGAATTCAAGAGAAGTTTAGATTAGAGCAAGGAAAAAAGGTCAAAAAATTTAACTGAAAAGCCTCTGTGGAACAAAGCTGCATTACAGAATTAACGAGCCCTGTTACCGAATCGGCACATACCAGATCCTCAGCGCGTTTGAAGTGGCATTGACACTTCTCACTGGATGAAGATGTGGTCTGGTACTTGCAGAGATGCACACAAGACGCAGCAGCTGATTTCTGGCAACAGCTCAAAAAGGGCGACTGTAGAGTGCTTTTCAGTAGCTTCTTTCAATTAAATAAAATGTGATTATCCCTGTCACTTTTCATCTGGCAATCTCAAAAGATTTCGCAGTCATTTATCCTCCAGAGAAGGGCAGGAGAGAGATTGCTTTGTCCACTGCTGAAACCTGGTTCTTCAGAAGTGTGAAGAGTAGCACATGACAGTCACAGAATACCTTACTACTTTAGAAGCTGACATCAGGTACCTAGATATTCCTCTAGTTTTAAATGGGGAAAGACTGGCTTTAATGATTTTTTTTCTTTAAAACCATCCTTACATACCTTTAGTGATAGCAGAAGGTGAGAAGTTTTGTTTAGTCTTGGAGGCCTACCCTGCAGCAGTAGAGCTCTACCTAGCATAGAAAAGGGGAGGGATGCCAAGGGGAAAAGTGCAAAAAAAAAGGTGTAAATTGCTCTTTCTGCTGCCTGCAATGTGAGTGTATTGCTGAGAGGTCTCATCCAGGCACTAGACTGACTCTACTTAGATTTGGCAGAGTCGCGAAGTAAAGAAAACCCATTGTAAAGAGTAAGTGAAGAAGGTGAAGTATACTTGGCAGTAATGAAAACAAAGCTTTAAGTGACAGATGCCAGTCTAGTAGCACAAGTCAAAGGCTGAGCACAAGCTTTCTGAATGTTCTGGTTTTGCTGACATTTCATCTTTTAAGGGTAACATCAAGGTTGTTTAAAGCGGGGCGGGGGAGAAGGAATATAGCTGAACAAACCAGAACTGACCGTGGCAAGCTTTCCTGAGTAGTATCTCACCGAGAAGCTGAGACAGGGTATATTTACCTGTATTTTACCTGCAAAAGGACACAAATTCCTGGAAACCACAGGGAGGACATGGAGGCAAAACAAACTGATGGAGGAGTTTCTCATGTGTTGTTTGAACCCAGATGCTTGCATGGGGAGAGGAACTGGGACAAGTATTTACAACAATAGGTGGAGGTTTGATGCTGACAGTAGACAGCACGACTAGTCATTAATAACAGTAAAAGATGTAGTAATTTGAGAGGTATCTTAAGTATTGCTTAGTGTCTAGACAGTAACTTGAGAGCAAATTCCTGTTTTTCTCTCCTGTTCTTCTCCTACTGTAATTTCAGACAAGATGTTGAAGACTTCACTTCAGATGCATTGTAGTTCTTCATGTGCAACTTGAGGCATCCTGACCCAGTACTGGCACTGTGGTGGCAACTAGGCACCTTAGGCAGTTAATGAACCGTTGCACTTTTTACCCCAAGCTATTCTAGCACTTTTCACCTCAGCTCTTAAGAGAGTAGCGCAAACCCTAGTATCTCTCAAGTCCCTTAAATTCACAGGGAACTTGCCAAGAACCAAATGTAATAGTTCTCTAAAGTTTTCATTTTCTAATAAATTTACCTTAGAAACTAAATAATGCAAACTTTCATCTCATGAAAAAAAACTCACCTCAAACAAAAAAAATGGTCCTAGGGAAGAAAAAAACAACTGTAGGTCTAAAAACGAAGAATATGTTCTACGAAGCTCGACAGTTCCAACACTGTGGCTAGCATTCCATAAGCTTTACCTTCCCTCAGAATCCAGATGTTAGTCTAGTGAGAATGCTATGCTTAGACTAAAAAAGCTCTCTTCATTTGCTGAGTTATGCTCGATTACACACCGAGTCTCTAACGTCACTCTCTCGTAGGGTTTGAGCAGTGTCTAGCTGTCAGCGAGTGAACCAAGCAAGCGAACCACACTGACCCTGGGTTCTGCCAACGTGTGGTCCGTCAGGCTCAAAGACACAGAGAGTGCAGAGCACTTTGATTCTTTAGAATCCATGTTGTGTGCAAATGAAAGCTGCTAGGAAGTCTTTTTATGGGAACAGCTATCAAAAACCTGCTAAAACCATCTGTTTCTCCGGCCATGTTTATTCATAAAAATAAAGGGGAAGACCCATTCGAAAGCAAGTGACTTTGGGCCAAATTCCACTGTCTTTCTAATGCAGAATAAAGGCAACTGAAGTGATTACACCGGAATCGATGAAAACACCCACACACAGAGCTGGCATCAGAATTCAGTGCCATGCATCTAACAGAACATTGTAAAAGTTTTACAAGCATCTAGAAATGAGCTAGGTTTCTTCAGTACAACAGACATTTGCAGCCTACATGATGCACCAACATAAAAAACCCCAATGACCTGCACTTGCCAAAACCATCGTTTTTTTCCTTTTTTTTCCTTCTTGACTTTGAAATAAGTATGAGAGAGCGGAAACCTTGCGAACCTCAGAGAACGAACCTGTCTATTTATGAAAGACCACCAGTATTTCAGACATCACCTTCCTGTCCTACCAGACGCAATGCTGAAAAAAAACCAACCCCACGGATCAAAACGCAGTTTAATTTCTCCTGTTCATCAGCTGGTGCTGGCAAATCCAGCTGTAGAACAGATTTTCATGGTGATTTATTAAACAAAATAATTTAAGAAACGGTCCTGAGCATTCACTTCTTAGCATCGTCTAGGCTACCAAACATCTGTCATGAGGTAACAACGGTTCAGTACCTACACAGCATAGGGTCATTCCAACTGATGACCTGGATGGTGAATTTCAACCTGCTGTCTGCATATGATGGCAGTCTGTGGACCCAAAGCTTCTCTAACAAGTAATTAATGAAAGCATCTGTGCTGTTAGTAAAGCTGCATGACATAAGTCTGCAAACCAAAAGTGATAAAATCATTGGCTTGGAATTCAGCACTTATCATAGCTCAGTCTCCTGGATGTCTCCCGCCCTTTAACAGCATTTGCAATAATTCCTTGTGATTTCAGAGAAGCATCGCACAAAGATAATTTTTTCCATCATTTATACAGATCCAGCATATGTCACAACAGCGTGGTCACACCTGCAACAGGGAAGATGAGTGGTTCTTGCACACTCCATTCCTTTAGACAGCGTTGACAAGAAATCCATCAAATGAGACAGTTCCACACATTCTGGATGTGCGTGTTGTGTACGTACTTCTTACCTGGACTCCTTTTGGGTGATGGCAAGATAGACTTCCCACGAACTCTCTTCAGGAATAGCTCCATGTGGTATCAACAAACTGACTCCTACAAAAGAGCAAAGGCAGAACTTACCTCTTGCAGAGTCTGGAATTGACAGACTCGTATGCCTAAAAACTTCTTGCTCCAACAGAGCTCTTAAATAGCTGACTTCCCGTTGTTCTGTCACAAAATGACACTGGATTCACAGTTTCGATGTGACTGGAGGCTTCTCTTCATGCTTGGCTACAGGCAGACGCTTTGTCTGCTTCACCACTTACACAAACAGGAATAATTCATGGAAACAAAAGGTACCATCAGCTGTTTCTTTAAGGCTTTCAGCAAGAGTGGTTTGTGATCCCAGTCACTTTGACCATCTTGTTACCCTGACGGGCTTTTAATCTGATGCAGCAACAGAACAATCTCTTTTCAGTTCCCTATCTAATTTTCTTTTTTTTAATAATTAATACAGTTCAAAAGCACTCGTGCCTTTGGTAACTTTCATGTTTGCCTTTGCCAGTTTCTGGAAGGCGGTTAGGGCAAGCCAATTATAAAAGACTTTAATCATGCGTTGACTCTCTCACTCTTACTTGCCAAAATGCATCTTAGTGGTACACGTCATCTGCATAGCTCCATGTTTTACAAGACACGATCATGCTTTAAACTCTTCTTGAAACCTCTTTGCCCATTTCTGACTTTGAAATCAAATCTGATGATTCTGGGATCACAGGGAATCTCATCATGGAGGGACTACCAAACCAAATTAATCTGAGTTTGCATGGAAACTGCCACACCCTTTAGTTCATATACATAATAACTAGTGAAGCCAAGTGATAAGATTTTTGTTTTACTCCACTAGTATAAACTAAAAGTTAACAGGGATACCAGTGAAATTAAACTGTTGTATAGCATACCCAATACAGGAAGATTAGATTTTACTTTGCATATGTCACATAGTGTAGGACCTTAGCTAAGCAGTGACATGATTGCACTACAATTTACAATTGGCTAGCAATTTTATATAAATACAAAATTATAAACCATCTTATATCAATAGGCAGAAGGAAGTACATACACTGCAAGCTGACCAAATATGTATTTAAATAATCTAATTGATGGGACTATCATTAGATAAAGTAGCTAAACATACAGGGACTTTTTTATGTAGGACTTAACTGACTTTAGTGCCTCTGCCTTTGTAATATTCATTCCTGAGCTTTATTACAATCTGTGAAGAAATCAATACATTCCATGTGTTGTGCATGATTGTACACTATTACATCCCTGAATTATAGACTGTTATCAATCTTCTCTAAATACAGACCACAGTTTTTATGGCAACCTTTTAGGTACCCATCTTATGAAACATGAACGATAAGCTCTAAAGCATTCAGTTCACCTAGATACTAAGATAAGCCTGGACACACTAGTCAAATGAAATCAAAGGTCAATTTAATTAAGACTTTGAATAAAGATCACCAGAGTTCGAAAGATATCCTCTCAGCTAGCAATGGTGGTATCTGGCAATTTCTGCCACATTTGCCATTTTGAGAAATAAAGTATCCAACATAAGGAATTTTATTCAGCATGATACGAACATAGTGATGTAGTGCAACATACTGCAGGAATATGATTTTAACATCCTTTATCTGATTCTAATTTGGTGCCGTGTGTTTTCAGCTAATTCAACAAACAATTTCTTAAGTCTAAAATACGTCTCTCAAAACTCTGAAGTCACAAAACAAACTCTACTTCTTAAACAGTGCAAACTGAGCATCTCTGCTGCGATGTTTCAGTGCATAGCCCCATCTTGAAATGCCTGTTGACGCTGAAGTGCCCCACTATGGAAATCTGTCAAGCTATTAAGCTAAAAGAAGGAGAAAACCAGAAGGCCAGGAGTGAATGCTAACGAAAGCTGCACTAGAGTTTTCATCAAGAGTGGAAGCTATTCTCCAGAGACGTCTGTTTGTTGTACACTGCAGACCAGTAACATAATGAAGTCTGACAACGTTAATGCAGTCAGATGTTGGCACATGTAGCTTCTGCTTTGAATATGACCCCATTTTATAAGATGCTGATCCAGTATCGACCTCCTTCCTAGGGAGCCATTCCTTTGGATCAGGATTCAAGTAAGCAACAGCTTTGATTAATATGACTTTCACGCTGAAGACATCAAGCGAGGCAGTAATTTCTAACAGTTCAAATAGGCATAATGCCTCTCTACTACTCATCCCAAGCTTTGTTCTGATCAGTCATGTTCTCTGTAGGCAACATGCTCTACTTCCCAAAATTTGCATAAGGGAGCCCCTACTTTTCTTTCATTTTTTTTTAATTTAGTCACAGAACACTGCATCAGGCAAAATAAGTTTAATCTAAAATTATTTGATACGCTTTTAATGAGAAAGGATCTACCCACCTGTGTTTGGAACCACTAAACGGCCACCCAGGTGTCCAAAAACAGCAATCGTCTTCAGCTCACTTCTTGTTGAAATAGAAGTCAGGTTCTGAATATAGGTAGCCTTGTTTCTAGCCTGTATTGTACCAAAAGCTCTATTATTCCCATGAGGAAAAGTTCCAGAGTGTGCCTTTCCATGATATTCAGCCCTCTCCGTCACCCCGAGGGACACCATGAACGAACTCTGAACTTTGACTTTGATGTCTGACAGTGGGTTGAACAGCGAAGACTCGGTCATTAGCTCCTTGTCCATGGGATCCTGCAGGCAGATGGGGCCGCTGTACGTCCTGCTCACTGTCAAGTCGGGCTGCATGGACGAGTTCAGAAGCAGGGAGTTACCTGGTAGAACAAAGCAGATCAGGGAGTCAGTGACTGTACGGAGATGTTAAATGAGAAAACTCTTTTTGACCTCTCCACCATTTCCTTTTTGACTGGCTCTTCCTTCCTGATACTCTCAGAGCTCAGAATCACATAAGGTAATGTTAAAAAACAGATGAACTGATGCAATAGATCTAACCGGTACTTCATCGCTATGTTTTCCGCACTGCAGGCAACTCCAGTGCATGAATCCAAGAGAGAACTTGTTGTTTTGGTTTGGATTCACATTTGTGTATATGCCTTCTTTCTTTCTCTGCCTTTTTTTTTTTTTTTTAAT